CTCTCAAAGACATGTGACAAGTAATGCCGCGGGCATTGCCGCAGTTAACGAGCACCAAGAAGAGCAATGAGAGGAAGAGATATCAGCAAAAGGAGACACCTACCGGCAATATACGAAGCGGCGTGATCTACGCTCGGCACAAAGTGCCAAATTTCGACGTGGCGTGAAATCGCGCGGCGTAGATACCCCGGCAGTGATACCGTGTCCGACAACGCGCCCAGCTGAATACTATTTCAGCCGTAAAGGAAATAAGAGGAAACATCGCGGCGCTGGTCACCATAAAATACATCGAGATATATGACCTACAACGGCAGGGAATGACCCGCCACCCACATTCGGTCAGTAGCAAGCCGCTCCAAAATCGTTGCAGTTTATGGCCTTCTTTTATCTGCCGGAGGTGAGCGAAAGAGTGGGCGGGTGGGGGAGGACCACCTTGCCGCATAACATTACTATCCTTCGCCGTGTTCCAGAAATCGAGTTTTGCCACCGATCAATCGTGACGAAGGCCGAACAGCATTCCCTCCGTCTTTATCGACAACTCTACCTGTGTGTGTGCATTTCGTTTTGGAATAAATTATGCCGGAGATTGCGGCTATATATACATATACAGGATGAGCTGCTTACATCGTTGATGTATCTTCAACTCCTTCCAGACGCTTTCGGTGATTAATCGGAGGAGACTGGGGCAGGTTGACACACTCGTTAGAATTTTGGTGTCGAAATTTTTCACGTAGACGCGTTTGACCGCTCTCGACACTTTGATGAAACTCGGGGAGAAAGATCTACGTATGTGCTCGGAGGAGCATTTGGTGCAGGACTTTTGTCCTGCAGTTTCTTTCATAATAGATAAAAGAAATGCGCATAGTCAATGTTATATCTTTCTGTCAACTACTTCCAGTCTAGCCTAAAAGACAGGACGGGAAAACGTCGCGTTTCTCGAGATCACAAGTCTGTAATGTGTCTTCCGAAAGATTATGCGTATTGTATTCAAAATATGCAATAGAATGTAATAATGGGAATTCTAAAACTCTGGAACGATGGAAACGCTGGAAACACAAGTCGTTATTTTTAATCGTTATTAAAATAAATGCGGCTTTCCCTGAACTTTTTGAACTTTTAGAAATTCGGGAAATAGGGTAAACGACGCGGAGGTTCAAATGCGAGGTTAAATTTATCTAACTATACCGTGTAAGGTGAAATATGATTAAAACTCGATAAGCGATAGCAGAGTGCCGCTACTAATATTAATCAACGCGCCGTATCTAATTGCGACATTAAAACCGGGATTAAGCTCCAATGTACTAAAAGATTTCCATCATCCATAATTGGATGATAATCACAGTTCCTGTCACATCACGCGGAAGTTTTGAGTATGACCTCGATTGCAATTGCAAATTGCAATTGTAATTTGTCGGCCGGCTCATTACTTCTTATTGATATCTACGTAGCGCGATCTGCGCCGTTAATTCGTCGTGTTGAGAATGAGCCGTCCGTCATTAAAAATTAAAAGCTCATTATCGGGAGAAGGGATAGAACGTGTCTCTCTGTAAATTACCTGTGCTTCGCCGATATGAGAAATAACGAGGAAAAGTTCATAGCTCTGTCACGCTCGCAAATATCGAAAAGTTTCAATTTCCGCCGTGGATAATATTAACGCGGACGGAATAAATCGAGTCGTCTTCGTAATTCGCGTAGTTGATTTTTCGACTCGATTTTTCGCTCGCGGAAGAGACTCGCGTTTCATCGCTCGACCGATGACTAATCGGCAACGCCGATGAATCCATCGTCTTGCAATAATCATGCGCGCCCTGCTCAAAGGTATCACAGCTCAGAGAATTGACGATGATAAGAATTCGGGTCCCAAGACCTGATGCATCTTTGAGAATTTCTCACCGAAAATATGGATCCTCCTTTCGGCAGCCACAAATTCGGCTCCGAGGCGGTTGAAATACGTCACGTATCCGGTAACTCCGTGGCATACCGGCCGTATTAAATCAGCCTCGCCCACGTGTGCGAGCGAGACGTGTAACGAAATAGCGACAAATACGTGATAGTATCTTCACGATGATTTCGGGAGAGGAAAGATCGTGCGAGCGCGTTCGCGGCCGAGCTCGCTCGCTCGCGCAAGGAGGCACGCTGAAGCCGGGTCGAGTCTCCACGAGATACGAGGTGGTTGTCGTCTCTGGGAGCTAATGGGATGCCGCCGACACTCTCCTCTCGTCCGAATCTCTTTGATCCTGGCCGACCTTGCCCTCGCCTCGGTGACTCCCGTCCTTCTCCCGCCGCCGTCGCCGTCGCTGTCGCCTCCGACGGTCGTTCCTTTTTCTTCTCGCACACCACCCTGACCTTATCCACCGGCGGTCGAGAATTTTCATGGTGGTCGCGAGATTCCCCCTGGTCCACGCGTGAATAATACATCCCGCGCGAGAATCCGCGAGAGCTCGAAAAACTTGTCGACATTAATGTTAATGTTAACGTTCATCGACCAAGATCCTTCCCTACCGCCCTCCGCCCTCTCTCTCTCTCTCTCTCTCTCTCTCTCTCTCTCTCTCTCTCTCTCTCTCTCTCTCTCTCTCTCTCTCTGATAGTTCTTTTCTAGCTCACGGATAGGGAAAAATGAGAGAAGACTTATGGGTCCTTACTCCGGATTTATTTGAGATTACTCGGTTGATTTGGTCCTCGCTCGTTGTCAATTCTGACGCTTGCAGGTAACAGAAAATAGCGAAAAATCCACAGGAAGAACAGAAGTCACTGTCTGAAGTCACTTCGGAATCGGAAATTTTTTTCAACGTGTTATCACGCACGCAGGCTATGCGTAACGCAGCTCGCACGTAGGCGCGGACGATTTTATAAAACGCAATTGCTCGATCGGAAGAAATTATTATTAGTTTCTTAAATTGTGAAGTTCGCGCATGATATTCCAGCGCTACTTCACCTTCCTGCTAACATGACAAGTCGTGTCGTTTGCTCACTCGTCAGATAATGATTACTCTATTTCTAACGATAGTGTCTTTTCTTACCGGTAATTAACCTCTAATTATATTTATCGGTCTCGATAAACATAATTGCAAACGCGCAATAAATTCTCGATACTCGACAAGGCCAAAGATAAATGCACGCAAGTTAATGCACGCGCGCTCGAGCGACGTGATGTACCAGAAGCAGTGCCTTGAAAATTAGCAAGTTTGGACGGTAAATTAATTATTGTCCCGCACAACCGATCGTTCCGCTCCTGCTTCCGAGCGTTGTGCGCATCACATGCGAAAGTTGCCTCAAACGGGCAATTTAATTCCCCCCATAAAAATTACGAAGAAATTTCGTCGAAAGGATTACTCGTGAATGTAAAGCGTACCTCAAAGTTCTACACGACGTTACGTTCATTTATCCTATCGTCCCTACGGAACCGTGTCAAGAAATAACAAGATTCTCCTTTAGTATTTTAGGATCCATCGGGTGCTCCGTGAGAGACGAGCAAAATGGAGGGGACGAGGTGAATGAAAATTTCAGAAAAATTGCACGAAAATGTTACGCGGGACGTCACGGACGCACCTCGCGCCGCTACTTCGTTGGGTGTCACGAGTGGCAAAAAAGAGAAAAACAAAAAGGAGGGGGGTAGGGGAACGTGGAAAAGGGACAAAGCGTGGAGCTCGCCTGTCGAAACCCCGCGAATCCCCCGGCTGCGGCGCGCTGTTGTCGTCGGTGGCGGCGGCGGTGGCGGCGGTCGGTGCGTTGCACGGCGCAGAATCCAACGGCAGGAGACTCCGGGAACGGATTCTCCGAACGATTTCGCCGTCAGGACTCTGGGCGGAGTTCCGGCGACGCGCGGCAGAGATGCGCGCCGCCCAGACGTGTACGCCCCTGATGCTCCCCGATGCGCCTTCGTAGGCGCAGCAGCCTCGTCACCGCGCTTCGCACACGCGACGCTTCGCTTCGCACTCGCTCGATGACGCGTCTCGAGATGATCGTCGCGCAATTTTCAAGCGGCTTTCCAGCGCATTCGGCTTTTTTTTGCAAAGCCTTCTTTGCAGACCGCGGATTATCCGCGGGCCCGCCAATGCGCTCGACGCCGCGAATCAGCCTGCGGCGTTTCAACTGTCTCTTAGCTCCGTTCCCTTCGATGCTCGACGAGATTGCTGTTGGAACTCGCGGTTCTTGCCACGAAGATATTGTCGACGACACGAGGTCGGGCTCCAGGGGAAAATGCTTGACCTCGCACTTCGCGTATCTGTGTATCCTTGTCTTGCTGAGTAACGATTGTGCGACTTGCTGCGGCAAACATCTCGGACGACGAATTCCCGAAGTATTGAACTCGAGCGAATGATCAAGCACCAGGCTATGTTGCCGCAGCGAGCGCGCCTGATAACGCCGTTGAATATCGCCACTACTCCGCCGGCCGCGAATCATATTGCGTAAGCTTTATCGCCGCATCGAGCGACGATACGACGAATCGGCTTGTATTGATTATTCTCCCCGTTTGTCGGCTCCATCGGCGTACATAGATTCCGCTAATCGCTATTTCGCCCATAATACGTAACTAACGAGTGCTCGAGTTACGATATATCGGCGGATAAGATTGATCGATCGTTTTATCGACCGGTGTTTCAATTCGATCGCGTGTCACCTGCGCGAAACACACAAGATAGCACGAAATCAATATTGCTTTGTGCCTTTACCGCGGTCGCGCGTCCGCGCGATAACATAATCATCATTCCATGTTGTTGCTCGATATAAAATACTCCCTCCCCCTCCTCGGAGACAAATACGGATGTGAGTCCGTAATGTAAGTCTCGCTGATGTAAGCTCTGCGTGAGATCACCATCGCCGTCGCAAACGCTGCTCGAGAATGACGCGTCTGAAAGATTTGCGAGATCGACGTCTTCGACGAGAGAATGAGAGAGGGAAAGAGAGAGAGAGAGAGAGAGAGAGAGAGAGAGAGAGAGAGGGAGAGAGAGAGAAATAACGTCCTGATCTCGATGCTCAATCGATCGCGTGTGTTTCAGAAGGCAGGAGCTCGCTCTGTGTCGGCTGCGGCGGCCGAATACACGACCAGTGGATCCTGAGGGTAGCGCCTAATCTGGAGTGGCACGCGGCGTGTTTGAAATGCGCCGAGTGCCAACAGTTCCTGGACGAGAAGTGCACCTGCTTCGTGCGGGACGGCAAAACCTACTGCAAGCGCGATTACGTTAGGTAAGTCATATCGTGATAATATTTTCTCAGAAGCGACTTCGCACCGAAAAATCCGCGTATATGCGTAACATGCGCAAGTTGCGTGCACAAGTCCATCGCGATTAATTGATTTGGCGCGTTACGAGGAGCGACGAAATGTCGCGATGACGTACTGTGTCAAAGGAACGTCGCGTCAGAGTCCAAGGGTCGAGTATCGCTCCTCGCGACCGCGAACGAAAAGGTGGAACAAGAGGCTACTCGATAGTGAGGAAAGAGAGAGAAGGAGAGAGACAGACAGAGAGAGAGAGAGAGAGAGAGAGAGAGAGAGAGAGAGAGTCCAGCATGAACGCGGTGCAATATGGTAATTAATGCAAAACCGTGCCTCTTGTCAGTGCGCCGCAACATTCCCCGGCGACACGCGATACGCTCTTTCCGATACGCATTTGCAAACGCTCGGATTGGGAGGGAATGAAGAAAAGGAGAAATAAAAAAGGAAGCGCAGAGAGAGAGAGAGAGAGAGAGAGAGAGAGAGAGAGGGGAGAGAGGAAAAGAAGGGAAAGAGAAGAAGAAAAAGGAGGAGGAGAAGGAAAAGAAAAAAAAAGAAACTGTGGCTCGAAAGGGGAAGAGATTGAGGAAGGAAAGGAGGTGGCAGGGTCGAGAAAGCCTCCGGAGTATTTTTATCCGCGGTGTACGAACGTGAAGCGCGGCACAAGCACACGCGTCGTGCGCACGTCGTATGCAAACGCCGCCGTCACTGTCACGACGCTTGTGTGCGCTCGCGTGCGAGCGCAAAAAGCGGAGAGCAAAGATGAAAAGAGGGAAAAAAGAGGGAAGAAAAGAGCGCATGCAACTCGCGAGCGAGCGGGACGACTCGCGGGATTTGAGCTCTCTCGAGCGACGCGACGCGGCGGATTCTCTCGCGGCATTGATCGCGACCGGCGACGTTGCTGTTATTATTGACGCTCCGCCCTTGAGACACGCTCTCGACTCGTCGCGGGTTCACCGTGTTATATTATAATTCTCGCGTCCCAGGCTGCCCGGGGGAACCGTCGCGCGTCGTTTTGACCGCGGATGCTGCGGCTGAAACCGCGAATGATATCGGGGTGCTTCGACGTCGAGGTGTTGTCGCGATGACGAGATCGAGGACCGAATTTGGTCGAGCTGAGTAAACGCGAGAGCGCGAGTAAATACTGAAAATCACGACTTTTCCGGTTTGTTCCTCCGAGTGACCAAATCGCGTGAATTTTGCTTGACGAGCGTATTTTGTTTATAACGAACGTTTATATCCACCGTTGTTCTCTCGGAGTCTCATCCGTTCGCTCGTGTCGATGAAAGCGGAACGTCCGTCGTCGGCGATCCTACCTGTTTCATACGTTTGACATCGTCAGTAAAATAATTTACGCGCTCATACTGACAACACCTGACACACTCGAGTCACGACTCGAGATATTCGCTTTGCGTAACGTTGTGTTACGTTTGCGTTACGTCGAAGTGAGAGAACGGAGACGTGAGCGGGAGAAGGGGGGCGGAGGTTTCGGAGCCGTGTTCGCGTTTTGGTGAATCTTCAGCGTTTTCAGCGCTCACGAGCTGCTGTTAATGCCGCCGAATAAGCCATCGGCACGAATTCGACCTGGACCAAATATTTTTCTCCGTCGAGGCAGCAGGTTTATTTGCGCTGATCCGTCGAACGTCGAAACGTCGCCGCGTCCGAGGAAGACTGGCGTATCCGGCCGCACGTTCGAGCGACAGCGATGACGGCCGTTTGTTGTTCCTGTCGCCTTCGCATCAAACGTCCAAATTACCAAAGTAACTCCCTTCTCGCACGTTCTTCTGGGTGTTCCCCGAGGCAGCTATTTCCTCCGTCGGACGCTCGCGAAAGTGCGCTTCTTACGCAAAGGGACGAGAAAAATTATGTAATTGCAGATTGTCGGATTTTCGAAATCCGATTGTAATGTGATATTCCGAATGTTAAAGCCTTCTCTTGCCGCGATATCAACGCGAACGTTTTCCAGTTGGAGTTTTTTCGTCCGCTGAAAATTGAAAGTTATTGATTAACAATTTTTTCCATCGGAACGATACACGCACCGATCGCAAAAGACTTACACTGATAGCGCCATTGTTAAATAATCTCCGTCAACTCGTTCAATTTATAAAAAGAAAGACAAAATAATACATTGCCCGTTAAAGTCCGACAATAACAACAACGATGAAATCGAGAAGTGCTCGTCGATTATGCAACACGTGCGGCAACGAATCGCTCGCTCGCTCGTGTGCGCAAAGTTTATCGACTTTGAAAAATAAGCGGTGGCAACGATAACAATAGAAATGTCCGCCGCCAACGCGACCGTCAATTACAGCTCACGGGTGTCCATTAATCCCGCGTTACAACGCCATCAATTTTACTCAAATTACCGCGAATAACGACGAACTTTTCCAATTTCAGCGATGTACGCTGGATATTTCATTACATCTTGTGCCACGCTTTCTCTGTTTCTATTCTCTCTCTCTCTCTCTCTCTCTCTCTCTCTCTCTCTCTCTCTCTCTCTCTCTCCCTCTCTCCCTCTCTTTCTCTTGCGCGCGCGCCACAGAGTTTATTTATTGAATTTATTTATAAAAAAATTGGCCTTGTGTATATCACGTGCAGAAATAAATATATGATGCGACAATAAAAGTCACTTTGGCCCAATTTATATTCCTCCACTTTACAATTATCGGATTTAGAAGCGAACTTTTTATTTTGTCGCCCGAAAATATTTACAGCCCCACGAGGCAACGAAATAAGGGATAAATAAAAGATATGATACGTAAATAACGATGAATCTAACGTCGCGTCACTCAATGATGCGCAATGAGTAATACAGCAATTGATCCGGCGCGATGCATTACATTAATATTGTCGGACTAAAATTGACTAATGTATCGAGGGAATAATCAATGGCGCTTTCTTAATGAGATATTTACATCGGTAATTATTTGTCGCGTGACGTTGCATCGTGAGGCCTTTCCGAGAATCAAGCATCAAATATTCACCTCGGCAATGACGCTGTCTGGCGCGTCAGAGCGAAGGCTGTTAGTTAAGAATTAACCCGATAATTAAGAAACTCAATGTTTGCGATTCATTAACTCTTTTTGATGTTACTCGAGACGGATTGATTCAAACAATGAGAGAGCGGAATTGTAGCCATTTTTTTGAACATGTGTCTCTTTTTGCAGGTTGTTCGGCACAAAGTGCGACAAGTGTAGCCAGTGCTTTAGCAAAAACGACTACGTGATGAGGGCGAAAACCAAGATCTACCACGTGGAGTGTTTCCGATGTTGCGCTTGCATGAGGCGACTCGAGACCGGCGACGAATTCGCTCTGAGGCAAGACGGCCTTTTCTGCCGGCACGATCACGACGTTCTCGAGGGTGGCAAGCACTGTACCGGGGCCACCGGTATACCCGGAAGCGAGAACAACAACAATGCTTCCCTGACGAATAACAATCATCATTTGCACCCAAACGACGGCTCGATGTCAGGTGAGAGGAGAGAGGACGGATCCTGTCGAGATTATTAGGTGTACAACTTTGCTTCCGCTGTTTTTTTCCGAAATTCGAGGCTTTATTGTAAAAAACTGGTTATACATTTATGATTCAAAGTATCGTCCATCGCTGGCCACTACTTTCTCCCATCTTTCGGGCAGCGTACGAATCCCGCGTTGAAAAAACTGGTCATCTTTTGAAGCGATCCACGAATCGATCCAATTTCTTACTTCTTCGTAAGACCGGAAGTGCTGGTCAACCAGGCCGTGTGCCATTGATCGAAACAAGTGATGGTCAGAGGGAGCAATGTTTGGAGAATACGGCGGGTGGGGTAGGACTTCTCATTTCAACGTTTCCAAGTATGTCTTGACCACTTTCGCAACATGGGGTCGAGCATTGTCATGCTGCAAAATCACTTTATCGTGTCTCTCGTTGTATTGCGGCCGTTTGTCTTTCAATGCTCGGCTCAAACGCATTAATTGCGTTCGATAACGATCGCCTGTGATTGTTTCAGTCGGTTTTAATAGCTCATAATACACTACGCCAAGCTGGTCCCATCAAATACAGAGCATGACCTTGGAGCCGTGAATATTCGGTTTGGCCGTCGACGTGGAAGCATGGCCGGGATATGCCCATGATTTTCTGCGCTTGGGGTTATCGTAATGAACCCATTTTTCGTCCCCAGTCACAATGCGATGCAGAAATCCCTTCCGTCTTTGCCTTTCAAGCAACTGTTCACAAGCAAACAAACGCCGTTCAACATCTCTCGGTTTCAACTCGTACGGCACCCAATTTCCTTGCTTCTGAATCATTCCCATGTCTTTGAGGCGTTTTGAAATTGCTTGTTGAGTCACTCCCAACGATCGTGCCAATTCTTCTTGACTTTGACACGAGTCTTCATTAAGTAATGCCTTCAATTCTGCGTCTTCGAAAACCTTGTCTCTTCCGCTGCTATGCCGGTCTTCGACGTGAAAATCACCGTTCTTGAAGCGTTGAAACCACTCACGACACGTTCTTTCACTAATAGCGGCCTCACCATAAGTATTTGAAAGCATTCGATGAGCCTCAGCCGCAGATTTCTTCATACTGAAGCAGAAAATTAAAACCCCCCCGCAAATGACGAGAATTTGACTCGTAAACCGACATTTTCAATCGAGAATAACTTTATGATGCAGACACAAATCGACTAATATTTCTATGGGGTTATGTCGACAGATGCCCAAGTTTATTGCATGACGTCTATGATCTATTTATTTCGACCACTCCTTACCGCTAAAGCCATCTATAGGAAAACGGCGAAAGCAAAGTTTGGTGTGCAAAGCACACCTAATACACTTCTATTTTTACCTTGTTACGAAGCTAATCCATACGCGCCTCCCGAGAATCGCACAATTAGAGAAATTGCACGTTCGTGTAAATTTCCCTGGTGTCCGTGAAAAACCGTCAGCACGCTCTGTCGGTGCGACAATCACGAAGTGCAAAGTAGCAAAGGAAAAGCAGAGATCAAGCCGAATACAAAAATTGCTGCGCAAATTCGTACAGTTTGCTGACACTCGAAATCGTCGAAACAAAACACTCGAGACGAAGCGCATTTGTGCGCAACTTCCGCCTTCGGCCCCTCCTCGACCGCCTATTTCTGTCAACGCGTTGCATCTTTGCCGTTGTTACCGATAATATGTAACTCTCATAGTTACAGAAAATTTAATTAGCTATTGATGTAATCAACAGACGTAACCAACAGATTGATGCAGGTCGTGTAACGTCGCTTTCTCCGTCTCGCTCTTTCTCTCCTCGTCTCTCTCTCTCTCTCTCTCTCTCTCTCTTTTTCTCTTTCTCTTTCTTCTCTTCCTTCCTCCGATCTTGACTTCTTGATGGTCACGATATCGTGAAATTAATACTCGCATAGTCTTTGATTGTTCTTACCGTCAATTATCTTTGACTGAACATCGCCATCAAGATTTTCTACAATTATCATTATTACCGCCGTACGTTTCGTCGTGCGTGTGCGACGACGCACGCAGGCCGGAGATTCGGCTTCTGACGTACATCAGCGACGCTAGGATATGTCTGTGGATTATCAGGCACAGTCCATCCGTGTACAAAGACCAAATTTACAAAAGGGTGCGCGCTCGAGGGTAAGCTCAAAGGACTCGCCTAACAGCCTTGTTGTGTTAGGATCACGACGTATAATTAGGTGTTGATAATTGAAGCCCGTTAAGACCGTAAAGGCTTGACCATCGCCCTCCTGCACGTCAGGATTATGTGGGCTTAATGTCCTGCAGCTTGTTACAATGCATGTTACGTCCGACCGGTTGGATTGCTACCGAGCAAATTAACTCGGCCGAAGCCGGGGCTCGCACATTCGCACATTCGCCGATTCCAAATCCGAATCTGCATGTTACCGGATTGCGCGAGACTACGTCGTAACATCGATTCACGTCTGCAGCAAGGAACCACAGATAATGGTGGATTATCAAAGAGCGACCTACATTAGCTCCTTCGGTATTATTTCGAGATTAGAACACAATTCGGGAAATGGTTCTGCAGCATTGTTAATACATCAGTCGACGAGTTCGTAAATAAGTCTTATTAATAAAAAATAAATTGATAAGTCTTATTAGCAAACAATAATAGAACAGTCGATTTGACGATTTCGTAAGTGTTGTAAGTTTTATTAACAAAAAATAAATTAGTAAGTCTTATTAGCAAACAGTAATAGAATTGGTAAATCTTGTTAATAATAAATAAATAAATAAATTATGCTCAATATTGCGCTATCGAATCAAAGCCGTAAGTCGTGAACGATGGATATCCGTATGTTTACTTAATCGGGAAGTCTTTTTTTATTGATCCAAAAATGTCATATGAAGTAAAAAAAGAAGAAACAATCTGCATTGACTTTCATTAACGTTTTCATTAACGCTCCTGGTGATTCAAATCTGAATTCTGTATTACGAGTCTCCGCTTGAAATCTGTCTCACATGTGACACTGAGACTTGCGCTCTTTAGTGACGTGATATTTGTAATCGCGCGATTCAACTAAAAAACTTACAGTTAACTTCAGATTCGAAACCGAGTATCTCACTTCAGTCAAGTCTCAGATGACGACTGTTAACACATACTCGTGTGTATGTAATAAGTAAATACGAAAATCTCGGAATAATCATCGATGTCGCGGACAGAAATCGAACGGAAAAGAAAACAAGCAAGTGTATTTTCTGATTAATCTTGCATAACGCGATAGTCGAGGCAGATGCGTGAAGCACGCGCGCGACCGTTCGGCTACTATTCGCGTTCGTTCTCTCCCGGACACGCGTTATACCTTCGCTTCCACTCCGCGACCTGCGCTGCCCTCTTAAAATGCAAAGGACAAACGTCGGCATAATTAGCCGATATACTAATTCCCAGTACAAATAATTCGTGTGCGGCAGCGCGATGAGCGCGCACGTCCTGCCGTGTTTGTCATTGTGATTCGTCATGGAAATGCTCGCGCGTAAACATCGTTCCTCATGCACAAAATTGTTGGGCCACCTCGTGCCGACGGTAGTGTGACCCGACGTGTCTTTAGAGCTGCTGCGGAGGTGCCAAATGTAACACCACCCTGCCAACTACTGTCGCGCATAACTACGCACGATCTGTTTTCTCTTATTCGTATTTTCTTTATTAGCGCGCTGCATATCCTGCCGTGGGCGACTTGCCGTCGACGAAACGCGAGCGATACCGAATCATTAATAACGAGTTATTAATACGTTCCGCAGGGATAACGGTGAACGCATTCCTCTTTCCTTCTCTTTTCCACGCTCTTTTGCGAAAATCGCCCGACTCGAGAACGCGCGACGCGCGTCAGCCGCGTTGATTTATCCACGGAAAGATCTTGCGATTTGCCAGCAGGATTAACACAATTTCCCTCGGCGATTCCTTCGAATTAGGCACAAATTCAGCGTTTCTTTTGTTTTCTCTTTCTTCGACAAATTCGAGACTTACGCCCTCGGGATTGTACGAACGATGTCAAAGGGGATCGACGTCATCGTTCTTTACACTTTGAGGATCAGAGAGGAGAGATTCAACCGGGCTGAAGAGTCGTCGCTTTGGAAAGAAGCAGTTTCCAACGAAAAAGAAAACTTGGATTTTTTTTCCGAGTCAGGTGTCCTTTTAATCGCGACTTTTTCACCAAGTATCTCGAATCCGAGATGTGTGGTATAATCGACGCGATCGCCTTTCAAAGATCGAGGGCCTCGTTCTTCTTTTTATCACCATGCAGCCGTGTCAACGCCGGTTTTATTCCCGCTTGCCAACCAAGACCGTTATTTGGTTAGGACGCGGAGAAATATAGTGGGATTCGTTTGTTCTCCTGTAGCGTACTTTTCGTTGGCTTTCCGTCCTCCTGCGGACAGATCCATCAGGTTTCGGATGACACGATGTTCAAAGTGATACTCACGATGCTCGGGGGGGGGGGGGCAGCGTACCGATAAGTAGTGCTTGTAAGGACTAACGTTGGATGATTTAAATTTTTTACGGTCGTACGAAACTTGTGTAACTCTTACACAGCGGAACGCAGCTTCCACCGTTATTTTGATATTCCATTATTTAATAAGCCATTATTTTGATATTCATTATTTGGAAAACATTAATTTAAAAGGACATTTCTCGATCGAAGGACCAGTTACTTAGAGGCATTGGAAAGTAAATATCGGTATTTGCATGACCCACTCGTCGCCGAGGAAAACTCGGGAAAGCTGACGGATCGCGGATATAATAAGCATCGAGTGGATGTCTTCGAGATAAATTCGGGGTTTATCTTCGACGAGAGAAGCTTCATAATCTCGCGACGGATCAATAAATTAAACAACATAATAGTTTGCTTTGTCGGCAAAACAGAAGAATTCGCTCCTACGTTTCATGCAAATAAGGTTTCCACGTTAGACTGTTAATCATAAGCCACGCGCTTAAATGCAGTGCGGTCGGCTGCCAAGGTCGCGCACCGCATGGAATCGAGAAATCGCGGATTCGCGTTTGCTCATCGACAATATTGTCTTTTGACTGTTCTCGAATGCCAGTTCTCCGTACAGGTGATCGTCGCGTCGGTGCCTTTTGCGTCTTCCGTCCGCCATGCTGAACCAGTATTCGGATCTCCCATTAGCCGGATTCGACCGTTTTGCAAGACCGGTTAGGAAAATAGTCGCGGCCTGGAATCGTATCGCCCGTTCGCCTCTTCCGTTTGCCTCGTGCCCGAGATGTTTTGCTTCGCGAATGCGATTTCCTCGCGAATGCGATAAATCTCGGCCCGGTCGGCGGCCGGATAGGCCGTGGCGAGATGGCGCTTTGTAACAGGTAACCTGGTACCAGTGGTGCTTCTAAGTTTTCGTGGATTTCTCTCTCTCTCTCTCTCTCTCTCTCTCTCTCTCTCTCTCTCTCTCTCTCTCTCTCCCCCTCCCATCCTCCCTCTCTCCCCTCTTCCTCTCTCTCCCCCCTCTCTCTCTCTCTCTCTCTCTCTCTCTCTCTCTCTCTCTCTCTCTCTCTCTCTTTCTTTCTTTTCTCAAGAGTGAGAGAGAGAGAGAAAGAAAGAGAGATCTTAGGCTGTTTCTTCCAAGATCGGCTTGGGACTTCGAGGGTTGTTGAAGTCCCAAGAAGGAACTCCGATTTTTGCGGTACCGACGATTTTGATCCAACTTCACCTTCTCGCGAGCGCTACTTGGGGCTTCCGGCGCAACTGTGCATCATCAGTGAAATTTCTAATATCAAAAGATTGACGACAGTCTTATCTGTCCGTATTGATGCTCGGTTGTCTTCCGAGAAGGAATGCTTCTGAGAAAGTTTCGTTGGTTATTTGAGTTTCACTTCGTGGTCGCAACAATTTTCGAACTTGCGTTAACTTATCGGCCCATGATTTCTGAATTTCTGATTTTCTTAATGATTCTATCCATTAGATTAATCGGTCAATTCTTCGACTGTGTTGTTGTTCGCTTCACAATTCGTCTGCGCAATGCGACGCGACAGTGATTCAGATCTCATCGGTATTTCAAGACTTTTATGCTATCTTTTTCGTATTTGGAACTACAAAATACCGCGAAAAGAGATACATTTCGACAAAAGAGCCAAGACGTTATAGAATGGTTTGTTATTCGAATTGCATAATTATTTTGCGTATCGAATCTTTGCCCGCGTAGTTTATATTTTACACTTAAAGGACGCATTTAAAATAATTTATCCAGTCCGGAAGTAGCCATAAAAATCGACCGCTTATGTTGTGCGCTTGCAGATTCAGGATCCGAGAGTGGATCGCACAAGGCCGGCGTCGGCGGTGTTCGCGGCTCGGGTAGCCACAAAAGCGGCGGCGGGTCCGACGGAAAACCAACGCGAGTGCGCACAGTCCTGAACGAGAAGCAGCTACACACCCTCAGGACCTGCTACGCCGCGAATCCGCGACCGGACGCACTTATGAAGGAGCAGCTCGTCGAAATGACCGGCCTGAGCCCGCGGGTGATCAGGGTATGGTTCCAGAATAAGAGATGCAAAGACAAGAAGAAGACTATCGCCCTGAAGCAGCAGATGCAAGAGAAGGTGAGGATCCACGGCTATCGACTGGCTAAAAGACGCGATTGAGAACAGCGTGTACCGATATGTTCATTAGAACGAAGCGTATTGCTTGTCTCTCGCAGATGAATACTAAACGCCAGCTCGGCAAATTGATTGTATTACTAATTGCAAGTAGGCTAAACGCAAGTACGACAAGACATCTGACCTTTCGCTGAACGATCTAACGGATCGAAGCGCTTTTCATTGCAGGACGGGCGTAAGTTGGGCTTCGGAGGTATGCATGGGATTCCCATGATTGCCAGCAGCCCCGTGAGACACGACAGTTCTATCGGGGTGACGGCTTTGGAAGTTCACGCGTATCAACCGCCGTGGAAAGCGCTGTCGGACTTTGCGCTTCACACGGACTTGGATCGATTGGACACCAACGCGCCATCTTTCCATAATTTGGTGTCGCAGGTAATGCGTTGTTATCACACACCAAGCGTCTCCTTTTTTCTCTCTCTCTCTCTCTCTCTCTCTCCTTCTCTCTCTCTCCTTCTCTCTCTCTCTCTCTCTCATCGTGGCTCTTCCATCATGTACCGATTATTAATGGCAAAGAAGCACAAATGTGCTTTTGCCGTCTCATCGGGGAGATGGAAGCGGTTCAATCGGCGGAGGCATTAACTATGTTAGGCAACTGTCATTATCGTTGAAACATTGCAGATGCATGGATACGACCTGCACGGCGGCCCGCCGCCGCAATTGCCACCTCCGGGGATGCTCGGTGGACCGATGAACGATGGTGGGGGTGGACCGTTACCGCCTCCGGGACCTCATCACCCGGGTAGCGGCGGACCGGACATGGGCCAGCATCCCGACAGCACCGACAGCTACGTGACCTACGTGGAGAGTGACAGTGATTCGTTCCACCACGACACGGGTAGTCCATAGTGTCGTGCGATCTGCGCGCGTCTCGAAAAATGCAGAGTAACACCTTCGCCGCCTTTCGCGTTTGTCGCGATTCTCGTCGTAGTGCTTGTCGCGACGGTGAGATGCTTGCAACGGCGGATGCAGTAAAAGAGGAACTGAAACCGGAAGCTCGCCGCGCCGGGAAAGACCTCTCCGTCGTGCGACCTGCGGGTCTCGTCTGCGATTTTGCGATGTGGCGATAATCAAATGGGTCTCCCGTGCCGCCGCAGCTATCACCAACGATGGAGCTCTGATTATAAACGGGACACGTTGGGATTCGTGAGACTACTGGAAAACCGCAACGATGATCACGCGATGATTACATTGATAAAACGGACGGGAAATAACATTGCCCTCTCCGCACGAATTGTCATGTACGAGTAACGTATTTCCTTCCTGGATTTCTTTGAAATATTAAAATGGCTCAAGACAAATATTCCTAGGCATGAGATTATTTCGTTGGGAGCATTTGGAAGCTCTTACGGGGACTCGTTAAGTGCGTCGGACGATTGATGATTTTATCGACACAAAATACGCAATCTTATTATGTAGATACGAAATCAAACGATTACCTGAAAGATGGTAAAACGTGCTGGATACCGATGATAGATATTTTGATTGAATATAACATTTACGGTTTTGTTACTATAAAAAAAGTTAAAATATAGCTAAAACTCCGACGAACTTCTGCGAGCACCTAATAAAAATTTAAACACGTAGAACTTGCTTTTATATTCTGTGTTACCGATCGTATTTGAAATCACTGGTGATGCTCCTCAAGTCGGTCACAAATTAGACGTTCAAAGTTGAACGTTTAGAATTTGTCCCGAAAATTGAAAACACGTTTAAAAATCTGATATGGTCGAGCACTAATAAAGTTACATGGTCAAAGACTGAAAAAGAAACCAAATTTTAAATTTTGGTTTGTAATTTTCAAATTTCGATCTGCATTGTTGAAATCGAGTGAATCAGCATTCCGTTCTTGACGCAATCTCAATCTCTCGTGTGTCGTCTAATATCGACTTTAGAGCGAGCGTTACGTTATTTCGATTCCCATCGTTATATTTCTTTAGTACGTAGAGTTTCTACATATTTATTGTTCACGTTGCGTTATAACGATACGAGAAAAATTCGCTCCGTTACCCCTAAAGTTATAATAGCAGTTTCGCTGAGAGAACTTGCGAATAGCTTGCAAGCATGCGTCGTTAACTGCCTGTAAATAAAAAAGACAAACAAGAGACGACTCGACATATTCAGACACAGGAAATACACTGTACATAAATCGCTAATTGCTGTAAATTTGAGCAATATTAATTACATGGTGTACCCAGACGCAAGTAGCGTAGAAAACATGAATAGTGGAATATATATTAAATTTACATTAATGATTGCGCATTATTCCCCAATTACGTTGAGTTTCACGAAGGCTGAAATACGCTTGCAAAAAAATTGCTAATGCCACGTGCTACATTGTTTAGTCCATCTTCTTCGAAACGAGGAAGTTGCCGTTATCGTCATTGATATTCTATCTCTCTCTTTCCTTTCCACTCTCCCTTACTCCATCTTTTCTCTTTCTCCCCCAATTTCGTATGTCTAAATAAAACGGTCCTGTGTGACAAGCGTGTCTTGATTTGTTCAAATTGAACAGGCGTTTGTGCGCTTCTTGTCAGGAAAGAAGTGATATCTCTCTACTTATTTTCAACATAAGAAAAATAAATCTTTGTATCGAACAAAATCGATGTCTCTCGGCGAAAGGCAGTTCGTGGAAAAACTTAATTGGGATTTGCTCTATGAACTTCAATGAATGCCGAAATCAGAGATTATACACATATCGCACATATCTTTCACTGATGTTTAATTTATTTCTATTTCTTCCTATGTCTACTTGTTGGTATTAAATTTTATGAGCGCAGTTGAGCATTAAAAAAAAAGAAAGGATCCGTTAGTAAAAAATAGAGAAAGATAACGCATAATCAATTTTTTCTGTTTTACGTTTGGCGCGTGGTGGTTACGTTATAACGCGGGGACTTCGGCGTATTGAGAATAGAAAAAATCACACAGAGAGGTGTACATAAGTTCCGAATAAAATATTTGAATGAATACATTTCATATCACACTTTACACTGTCAGTCCAAATGTTTAGTTAAACGTTTTAGACAGGTTCCACAAAAAACGCGCACAAGGCGTGCAAGTCCACCTTGCACGAGCGATTTGCAATTTTTTAACAACATAACTTTAATGTTATTTCTGTATTATCTCGGACGCGTTGCGAATTCGCATTATCGAGATTGCAATTGTTTCTTGCAAACCTCTTTCCGCCTGACACCCTAAGGTCGTCGTCGTTACCATGACATCCTTTTTAGAAATGCGCGCGAACGAAGGAGCTACGTCGCGAGATACTTTCGATACCAAAGCGTGCAAAAAGCTTAGCGAGATGGGAAACGCATTCGTTACTGTACATAATGCTCTCTCTTCGGCTAGTTATTAATTAGCTATTCGTTTAGTGGAAGCAGCGATAGACCGCCACCATATAGTATGCACAATGTGTGGCTAGCCTTTCTGGATGTCTGTATAGAACCGTTGTACATCGCTCTCTTGTATGTACATGGTTAAAAGGAAAAAAAAGAAGAAGAGGTAGAGAGAAGAATAACACAAAAATCATGTAGATCTAATGTTTCGTAACTCGTTCGAACATTTCCGAATTTGTATGATATTTCTATACTGGCACACTGTATGTAATAAACTGTCGAACAAAAAACATTTCGACGAAATCTTGTCTGAATTACAAAAATGAATTACCTATTGATCTCGTCTTGCTTTGCTCACAAGAATCTCATTAAAGGGAGATATAACGATCGACTACTTCTGATCGTACGATATATAAATATTTAGACGCTTATAATATTATAACAAATATTAACTTTATAATTTATTATTATTCGGTTTGAACGAAAAACAGTGTTGGGAAAGTTACTTTGTAAAAGTATCTAGTTATAGTTATAGTTACAGTTTTTTTCACTGAAAAAATAACTAGTTACAGTTACAAGTTACTGACTTACAAAAATAACTTGTTACAGTTATAGTTATTTAGAAAGTAACGAGTTGTTACTTTATAGTTACTTTTTTGCAATAATTGTGCTATTATTTTAAATTCCGTAATTGTGTAAATTCCTTCAATTTTATATAAAAATATTTTATATAAAAGTAGTTCTATATAAAAATAGTTTGATGATTATTATATTCCTCGTATTGTATATAATTTTTACAAATTAGATTCATTAATTTAAATAAGCAATTCTTATTTATTCTTTAAGACTATTAATAACAATTATAAGAAAGTGAATGAATTTGATGAAGATAATAAATAAATATTAGAAATAATCTTAACATCAAAAATTAGATTTTTTCACTAAAAAATATATTGATATTTTATAAATAAAGACTTACACTTATATGTTTCCTTAAATTTGCAGTTGAAATTCTACTTGCATGAATAATTTTTTGCCAACGCAAATTTTGCAGAGAAATGCCCAGTTGTTCTTGTTTCCAAATTTTTAGTATAACTCGAATATTTCTGCATATGTTGGCCATGGAATTTTATAATCCTTCTTCAAAGATTGAGATGTTTTATTCATTGCCTTTTTTATATAACTGAACTTTTTATATAACTAAAACTATGCAGTGCACCTCATGCTGAACACAGACTATATTAACAAATAAGGACTGGCGACGCGCGACGGAAATGTTCACATAGGCGTACAATTTTTTTAAAAGAAATACAAATTGCGTTCGGAGAGGAGACTATCAGCGCCATTGCATTATTTTATCCTTGTCTCACATCTAATGAACGATAAAGACAGATGAAGACAAAGGACGCAATAGCGTGTTTTCCAAATGCAGCCATAACTGGGTGCTTATTGGATATCAAGCATCGCATGTCGCGTTATCGTACTGGTCTGTCAGAAACTTTGAAAGTTTGAAATATATAAAGTAACAATTAAGGTAACTGTCAAGTTACTAGTTATCAAACAAATGTAACTAAGTTAAATTACAGTTATAAATGGAAAAAACGGGACAAAGTTAAGTATAGTTACTGAAAAAAAATAACTGTAACTGTAACTTCGTTACAAGTAACGAGTTACTTCCTAACCCTGTTAAAAAGACAATGTTTAACTTCGCAATTTGTCGTTTCTACATTTTAAAAGAAAAAGAAAAATGTAATTTGAATAAAGAATTGGCTATTTTTCTTTTACACCGTGTCTGTTATATCACGTAGAAATGTCGTGTCAATTGAACTTTATACACTGACAAGAAAATCGTCAGAACTGTCCCTCACCAATTTTGATGGGCTTTGGATATGTTGTAGAGCAACAAAAAATATTAAAAACATATTTTTTTATCGGCGGATCTCAAGATTAGGGGATGAAACAACCCCTCGAAAAAACTAACATTTTCATTTTATGTGAATATTTTCTAAGGTACGAGGTATATGAAAAAATTTCTCCTACTAAAGTTTTACTGTACTTTATACTGTTTGCAACGGTATATTTAGATTTTCCAAAAGTGTCAATTCCCACCGTTATTCCTTCAATTTTGCAAAATTAAAAAATTTTATGAAGACAAAAATTAAATTAAAGCATTTGATGCCGAATCCATCCATATATAATAATACAATATGGTAATGATTAATTTTTAGGAAAACGAGATGATATCGTATTAAAGGCACCGCGCTGTAGATAGGTGTTGTGTTATTTCTTTTCAGTTGCGCTGTACTTAATAATTGTCTCTTATGCATATTTTCTCATATTACAATATGCAACAGTATTAATTTTAATGACACAATATGCAACTTATTACACGAAATCAAGATGTTAGATAGATGAATGATAGTGATGATATACGGGATGGACCATTTAAATTGATAATGCGAAATATCTCAAAAACGAAGCGTTGAAGAAAGAAATGTTTTAAATAAAAGTTAAATAGTTATATAAGTTTAAAGGGAGATGTACGATGGTGTCCTCGGTTTGACCTTGGAACGTGTATTTAAGCTCAGATGAAGGTCAATTTAATGTTTGAAAACAGAAAACCCAATTTTTTTATATCTTCTTTTTTTACGATTTAATTTTAACAACTTTTGTCTGGAAAATTCTTTTATTTACCTAGTATTTATTTACCAACACCTATCTATAGCACGGCGCTTATAGCACGATATCATCTCGTTTTTCTAAAAATTAATCATGACCATATTGTATTATTATATATGGATGGATTTGGCATCAAATGATCTTTAATTTTTGTTCTCATGAAATTTTTAAATTGGCAAAATTAAAGGGATAGGGGGTTGACACTTTTGGAAAATCTAAATATATCGTTGCAAACAGTATAAAGTACTGTAAAACTTGTAGGAAAAATTTTTTTATATATCTTGCACCTTAGAAGATATTCACATAAAATGAAAATGTTAGTTTTTTCGAGGGATTGTTTTATCCCCTAAACCTTAAGATACGCCAATAAAAATAATATGTATCTAATATTTTCTGTTACTCTACAACATATCCAAAGTCCATCAAAATCGGTGAGGGACAGTTCCAACGGTTTCCTTGTGAGTGACACAAAGTAGACAGAATTAATTATTGTACTTTGATACATTCAGGCTTTTTCCATTTCACGTTATGAATAAAGATATGAATTGGACTGGCCGACTGATCAGCTACGCACTATTGCAAAGTCACATAGGCAAAGAGTTAGCAAATGTTTTTCAATATCACACCTTTAACGTTTTTTAATGTATTTCTTTACTATTCGTCAAGACAGACATTTTCAAGAATGTCATACCAAGGATGTGACGTACATGAATATGAATTTAAAAACGCTTCTTTCGCGAGCTTTTAATTCGTGACGGTAGACACGTTTGCAATTATATAGGTTAGTATTTTATGTCATACGATATTATTATTGAAAATAGCATTTACCATAAATGTATACGCTTGATTAAATTATTAAATAAATTACCGTAACAAAAATATTCGTGAAATATGAAGACTAAGAGACTGGCTTGTGATAGATAGGCCGCAGGGTGTTCAAAAAGAGAGAGAGGGAGAATTATATTAAGACACGTGAAGGGCCAGACGTGGAAATGTGCTTTTGGAATGCTTAATTGTAGATAGATAGTCCTTTATAACTATATTAAAAATGTCAAATATTTTATCTCAATAACCTCAGATACCTCTTTTTTTCTTTTTTTTTTTACAAATTAGAGACAAATATGAAAATGTTTTTATGTCTTCGGATTGATTAAATTTTTGGTAGAGCGATAGACTTCAATGAAAGGAAGAAAAAAGTTACATAAATAGCAAATGTTTCAAGACTACATATTATTAAATCCATAATATCTCATTATTATCGCATCTCCAATGTGTTGTTGAAACTTTTGTGACAACGTATTTAATTGGAACTTTACTTCTGTGTTGTTTAAGCACCGTGGAAAGGTCAACTCTTATAAAAACTATTTGTCTTAGAATATTTTGCTATTTAACTTTATTTCTTTTTTCCTTGAAATCTATCATATTGTTGTGTACAAGCCACAAGGAATGTGGAAGCGTCCGTTGTCCGCGAGCCTTAGGCATATGGATTTTGACAGTCGAAGGATGTTTGTCTGGACGACGGGAGTTTGTTGAAAAACAACAGCAGCAGAGTCTGTCACGAATCGTCGCCGCGAGCAGACGTGACTTAGACATTTCTTCTTAATGTTGTTAAGACGAGAGGATTTTCGTGAGTCTGTACATATTGAAAGTAAAGCGGAGTTCTTCTTTTCCTCTAATACTGTGTCGGTTCATTTCGCGGACCTGGTACGCGCGAGACGGATACGCGCAACAATATTACCAAGCGGTTAATCAATTCTTTCACATCAACATTTTCATTTTTTTTTAATTTGGAAAAAAGTAAGAGATGTTTGAAATTAATGTTTGCGACTCTTAATATGGACGTAAAGGATTATCTGTTATAATAAACCGCATTGCAAAAACACGACTTCACTTCTAGTTCTCCTCTTGTGAATAAAAAATGTTTAATAAACGCAGATAAAAAAATCAATTACAACCTAAAGAATTACAAACATTTTCCAATTTTGGTAACAAAAGTTATATGTTTGATTCTGCTGATAGCATACGATGAATAAACAAACGAGTATCTTATTATATTAATACTATTTTACTATTGTTTTATTTCCGATAATTGTTCTATATACCCTCCTTTTTCTACACTATATATTCGAGCGTGTTATTTTCACATGTATGTACAAGCGTATAATCAACTGAAGCTTTCTTTACACGTGGTCTTAAATCATGTCATTTGATATGTTTAAATGTCATTTAATATATTTATATTCTCTAATTCGAAGATGTCAAGCACATATAGAAATATAGAAAGTAGAAAGTAGAACACGTAGAACAGTTATTGTAAACAAAGCAAAATTCCTCAGAAGAACATTTTATTTTACCTACATGTATACAGGATAATAGAATGGATGTCTCAAGAGAAATTTTTTGAGACACCCATTTTCCTTTTATAAAATTAATTCGCAGACAAATTTTACACGTCGTGACATGAAAGAGGAAACTAGAATTACGTGTCTCAAACAGCAAGTTCTACTATTGACGCACACGCGCCAAGAAAACGATATTTGACCCCTATTATATATTCACTATGATGCGTTATTCTAACATTATGCAACGTTCTAATTTACAATCGAACAAAAGAAGAGCGATGAAATAGCAAGAACGACGGAGCGCGGCTAGGCGATGGAAAAGAGGGAGAGCGACCGGAACAGGAAGACAATGAATGTAAACATGATGCTCGTTGTCGACATTGGATATAAAATGTTGATGTTCATGTGCACGGTAGTAATCGCATCGAGGACATCGGTATATTCGTGTCTATCGACAGGTTTCACAAGCATCTTTGTTCCGGTGATTCGATCAACAGCAACTAGTATTCAGTCTCAAGGTATGTACTTGCTGTTCTGAGGATATTTTGCGAAATGACATAACGTAACAGTTGGCAATATTATAAAGTTCTATTTTACGTTAGCAACGTGCAAAGAAGACAACACATTCTCGAATCCGGGTTTATATTACAATATATACTACTCAAAACAATTAGGGGAGCGCTTCAAAACTTGCAAAATTTGATAGTTTTTAAGAAGCCATATTTCAGCTTAGGGAGTCGTAGAACCATGTTCTAGGGCGCATTTTAACAGGTGAAGCCTTGACTTTAAAGAGGCTAAGGTTTTATTATTCGTCTCATCCAACTGTTTTTCTTGTGAGACTCAAAATCAGGTCGTGAAAAAATTTTGGAAATTTCATGATTTTATAGCCATACACAAATAAAACAGGGATAGAAATAAAAATGGCACCACACTCGCTTTGAAATGGGAAACTTCCCCTTTAACTCTTTAACGCCCGACTTTTTTATAAGTGTTTTAAGAATAAAATTTGAGTTTTTTTCAACTGAGACTATAAGTAGTGATAACCAAAAAAATATCAGAATTTTATATCTACGAAAAATTATCTTTCCAATGTAAAGTAATGTAAAGTAAAATGTAAAGTAATAGTCTACTTCTGAACGAGTAAATTTGTATTATTTTGTAAATATAACGGTAAAAATGAAAAACACACTCAGAAATGGTTATCCAGATGGAAAAACCGTGAAACAATTACACGGAATATCAGCAGCAATCGTTTATTTCTGAATAAACGAGTACATGAAGTTTCCACTTTTCGTTTGTTGGTTTCGTTAGTTTGGTTCTTTTTATCGTTCGTTTTTTATTTATTTGTAAATATGATTTGGATCCTAAAAGCATATACGAAATGAGCAACCTATACAGAGAAAAATGAACGGTAATCTATACGACATAACTCTGATAGTCAGCTTGACATTTTTTAGCTGAAACTTTACTATTAGGTGTACAAATTAATTCTCGGCCTTTTTTGACCAACCTTGACATTTATTTATAGAAACATAAATATAAACTCAATCTTTAAATTAATCTTCTTCGTTTTCTGTACATTTTTGCCATCTCTTAGGCAATTGTCGGATTCGAGATCGAAAAGAAAAATGATAGTGGTTTTAACCCATTAACGCACAAAAGTCCTAAAATATCCTACAATGTCAGCCTTACTTTGCAACTGTATTTTATGTAGAGAAACATATTATATCAGGCTCGAATAGCATTTCTTTATGTTTTCGAGGTCGTTCTACAAGATTCCGGCATCAGAATTCGTTTAGATTCACAATAAAATCCAATATGGCGGAATATATGGAAAAAAGTCGTGAAAAATCTGCAGTTTTATCTCTTATAAGCTTGATTTCGTATCAAAAACGTTACTTTGATACAGATTTTTATCTGTATCAAAGTATCACATCTTGTCCCCATAAATGTTGAACTTTCAAGGTATGCATTGGTGAAAATGTGTATTCAAGATAGCTGCCTCAAAATGACGGTTTGAGCGAAAAAACTTAAAAATAATGTATTTTTAGAATAACTTTGCAAAATCCTAGTATTTACTATCAATTTAGCATTCAGAGTACTGATTTTAGGATATTTGCTGACAATTACCCTGGCGGAAATATTTCTACAAGAAACTGCGTGAATTGGAACACTTTCAGAGAAAGTAAGAGATCGTTTCAGACTCTGTAAGAATTCGAAAAGCTGCGTTTCTATGAAATTCTTTATTCATTGCCTGAGTAATTATGCAATTTCTTTCTTTTCTCTAAACATTTACCTTGAAATACTGAAATGTTCCTAGAAATAAAAAATGAAGAGTGGTAAATATGGAGAAAAGGGACCACCCTTCCAATGTCAATAATTTTCATATTTGTCATTAAGGTCATTACCCCATTAATATTATGAAGATTAACATATTGTTATAAACAGTAACCGCAAGCTATAATCTTATATTATAGCTTGCTATACTCTTATATTATAGCTTGCTATAATCTTATAGCATTTCAAAGTCACCTTTACATTTTGCAAAATTTTTAGCAACACCGCCGGCACTTGCGTTATCCGATGTGCACCACGGGTAGGTTGCTCAGTCGGATTTTGCACATTATGTATATGGTGTATGTGTACGTGATGTGTGTGTGTGACTTTGAAATGCGACAACTCGGCTCCAATGTATGATAAAACAATGTTCCTTGCGACGTTTTAAAGGGGAAGTTTCCCACTTCAAAGCGAGTGTGGTGCCATTTTTATTACCATCTCTGCTTTATTCGTGTATGGCTACAAAATCATGAAATTTCCAAAATATTTTCATAACCTGATTTTGGGCCTCACAAGAAAAACAGTTCGATGAGACGAATAATGAAACCTTAGCCTCTTTAAAGTCGAGGCTTTACCCGTCAAAATGCGCTCTCGAACATTGTTCTACGATCTCCCCAAGCTGAAATATGGCTTCTTAAAAATCATCAAATTTTGCACGTTTTGAAGCGCTCCCCTAATTGTTTTGAATAATATATATTAGGTATATTTTTCTTACGCGGAAAGATTGCTCATGGAATAAAATTGTTGATTTATCCTACATCCCGTTTGATCGTTTTGTTTATTTGTGTCCGAGAGAGCAAAAAGCATTTTGCACTATGTTTTCAGTACGAATAGATTTGTTAGTGAGACAGAAATATGGAAGACAGCAAAAGTTATAACCCATACGAGAAAATGCCGCCGGGTGAAGAGATTGTGATTTCTGGTATGGCCGGTCGATTTCCCGATACAGACAATATAAAGGAGTTGCAAGAAAATCTTTTGAATATGATGGACCTAGGTTCGGACGACAATCGACGATGGAAAAATGGTAATATACAGATACAATTTGAATAAAATATTAAGGGAAAAAACAAAATAGAAAAGAAAATAGTAGCAATACTGCAGATTATAGTCATAGTATAAAAATAAATGTTTGGCATTTTTACAGCTAATTATGACATGCCGGATCGATCAGGAAAGGTTAATAATATAAACAAGTTCGACGCAGAGTACTTTGGTATTTCATCTGTGGAAGCGCATATTACTGATCCTATGTGCAGGATGTTGCTCGAGCACACTTATGAAGCACTTATCGACGCCGGTGTAAATCCCAAAGAATTACGAGGAACGAAAACTGGTGTCTTTATAGGATCGTGTTATTCTGAAGCGGCCAACATAACTTTTCTTACCAAGCCTCAGGTACACTAGATGATTTCAGATGATTTCATATCTCTAATATAAAAGCAGTTCTGGAACTGCCAAATATAATGGAAAGAAACATTTTTTTATTAATAATATTATAAACAAACATTCTATTGTTACTTTAATAAATATATACTCTTTTTAAGAATTATCCCTCTAAATGATCTTGTTCCTGAAATATTCATGCCATGAAAGTTCATGCCAAAACTTATTGAATTTAGCATAGGAAGATAAAAACGCTGCAGTCATTGAATACTTAATATCAATTACATAATTAGACGAAGCTCTGAAAGCAGCTAATCAGCATTGGCACAGACATTATTTGAGACTTTTATATTACTTAATATAACTGAAAAAGTATTTTGTACACATAGAGGATGGTCCATTTTAATCGACAATCGGAAATATTTCGTCAAGTAAGCCAGATCGCAAAAAATGTTTTAACTAAAAGTTGTAGATGTTAATGAAGGACACACACTGACTGATTTTGACTTTGACTTTGAGGTCAATTTTCAAGGTTATTTGAAGGTCAACTTTGATTTTTCAAATAGGTACCACTATTTTTGACTTCAGAAATGAAAAGAGCGGAAAATTTTACGTTCAAATAGGTAAATTATGATAGGAGTCCCATGATATTTAAAGATCATTTTAAAGCCAAATACGAGGTGTGGCTATAAAATAACGAGATTGATGCTTCTATAGAAGAAGTACGCATGCGCCAAACGCGAACGACCGACAGCTATGTAACGTGAAGCCTTCTCTTCCGAATGCGGCGCCTCCCGTCTGTAAACAAATTAAACTGGCCGTGGCCTTCGTTTGTATAAGAGCTGTTGTTTTGTTTTGTCGGAAAAGTGATAAGTGTAAAAATAGAGCGACGAATCGTCGTGAAATTTCACATGAAACTTGGAAAAAGCGCTACTGAAACTTATCTTTTATTAAAAGAAGTATATGACAATGAATGTTTATCACGTACGCGTGTTTTTGAGTGGTGTAAGCGTTTCCAAGATGGCCGAGAAGACGTTGAAGATGATTCACGCCCGGGTCGCCCTTCCACGTCAAAAACGGATGAAAATATTGAAAAAGTCGGTAATCTGATTCGATCTGACCGTCGGTTAACTATTCGTGCGATTGCTGAAACTGTAGAAATTGACAAAGAATGCGTAAGGCAAATTTTACATAACAATTTTAACATGCAAAAAGTGTGTGCGAAAATGGTGCTTAAAATTTTCACGATTGAACAAAAAGGAGCTCGCGAAAATGTTTGTACGTGAAAACACGTTATCCCAATAATACTATAATACGAAATCTTACTGCAAGGGCTCGTAACATCTAGTTCGTGAAGGTCGAAGTCAAGCGCATCAGTGGGCGACCCCCTTCAACCTCTACAACTTTTGTTGAAAACATTTTTTAACACCTCTTTTTACGTTACGAGTTGTTTGAGGATATTGATAAAAAATATGTATTTGGCTTTAAAATGATCTTTAAATGTCATGGGACTCCTAACATAATTTACCTATCTGAACGTAAAATTTTCCGCTCTTTTCATTTTTGGAGTCAAAAACAGTGGTTCCTATTTAAAAAATTAAAGTTGACCTTCAAATAACCTTGAAAATTCCTCAAGATCAAAGTCAGGATCATTAGTGTGTGTCCCCATTGATCTCTACAACTTTTATTTGAAACATTTTTCATCGATCTGGGTTACCTGACGAAATATTTCCGATTGTCGACTAAAATGGACCACCCTGTATAAACGCAGGGTGGTCTATTTTAATCGACAATCGGAAATATTTCGTCAGGTAAGCTAGATCGCGAAAAATGTTTCAAACAAAAGTTGTAGAGCTAAGAGGGAGACATTTGATGGTAACCTTGGCTTGACCTTGGATTGTCATTTGAAAGTCACGTAAAGGTCAACTTTAAAATCCTAAATAGAATACCCAACTTTTTATTGCATATTCTTGTAGCCCTTGTCAAAACGTTTTCAAAATACTATCTATTTTTGTCATTAGCATAAGTCATTCCCAAGATATGAAGCTTCAAATTTGACATACCGCCAATATTCGCATTACCCGATATACATCGCGGGGAGGTTGTTCAGTCAGATTTGTACATCATAGTGACCCTAGAAAGCGCCGATTTTGTGTGTGTGTGTGTGTGTGTGGGGGGGGGGGATTCATTCCTCATAGATGTTCGAAAACGCTGCCATCGACAGTTCGGCACACTCAAACTCGTTTTTCGAAACTCTCGATGAGTTTCACAAGAATGTTTGCTGGAATCGCTCGGCACGCATTTCTGATGCGATCCATCATATCCTCATTGTAAAACTACATTGTAAACTGAAGTGTGTTACAATAACATGCTTGAAACGTCTTAAAGTATGTCTCCACTTTAGATATACAAAATCAGCAAATTAAATTAACACATATATGTATGTTAAAAAAACATATTTATGTATGTGTTAAATCGTTTGTATGTGTGATAATGGTTAGGTGTATTAAAATAACATACTTTCAGTATGTTATGAATTGAGTAACATTGCAAATCCAAGTGTGTTATTTTGAAATGCATAAGCGTGTAAATAAATGAATCTCTTTTACACATTTCTTCCATTTTAAATCACGCGTTATTTAATATATTACGCTTAAACATAACAATGAATAACATATAATTAATGATATAGTCTCTAATAATATGAAAGCAAGTTATTATTACATTAATTTGTTCAATAGATACAATACTTTTCTGAAGGCGAGTAAATTGAAGGCGACGATTTTGTCGATTTGTGTTTCTCTTACATATATTCTTTTTAATACACATATGTGTGTTCATTTAAACGTGTGTTAACAAAATTAGTGTACTATCATGAACACATTATTAGTGTGTTACATGACTTGGTGTGTTATCCAATATATCACCCAAGTGTGTTCTCAGTGTATTTCGATTGTCATTCTGTGTCTAAATAACACACTCTACGTGTGTCACGGGATTGTTGAGGAAAAATAACATGTTTCTGTAATATGTTACATGGTGTGTTACAGACAAGTGTGTTATTAAAATATACTTTTATCACAGAAAACGAATTATTTTGACGCAATTAGTGCCAGCTAATGTGTCAAAATAACACACTAACACTCAGTTTTAACACACATATTCCGATGCCTACACTGTAAAACTACTTTTCCTCAATAATCCCGTGACACACGAGTGTGTTATTTAGACACAGAATGATAATCGAAATACACTGAGAACACACTTGGGTGATATATTGGATAACACCAAGTCATGTAACATACTAGTAATGTGTTCATGATAGTACACTAATTTTGTTAACACACGTTTAAATGAACACACATATGTGTATTAAAAAAAATACATGTAAGAGAAACACAAATCGACAGGATCGGAGATTACTCGCCTTCAAAAAAGTATTGTATCTATTGAACAAATTAATGTAATAATAACTTGCTTTTATATTATTAGAGACTAAATCATTAATTATATGTTATTCATTGTTATATGTTTAAACGTAATATGTTAAATAACGCGTGATTTAAAATGGAAGAAATGTGTAAAAAAGATTCATTTATTTACACGCTTGTGCATTTCAAAATAACACACTTGGATTTGCAATGTTACTCAATTCACATTCATAACACACTTGAGGTGTGTTATTTTGATATACCTTCATAACACATTTGAGATATGTTATTTTAATATATTGGGGACTTGAATAAGTTCTCGCTGTTTCTCGATAGATGGTGATATCTTAGCCTTTTTGCATCGGGCAATACTACAGCCAACTTCATCGTGAAGCTCCACCATTAGGCTCGAAGTGACAGTATACGTTATTCCTCCGAAGTGTAAACAACATATTTTTTCATAGCGTTAAACATGTCGAATTTCGTGCCAAAAAAGAGTGTTTGCGGGGAATTTTACTGCATTACTTTTTTCAAAAAAAATCTGAAGCACATAAATAGAATTCTTGTGGAGACTTACGGCGACCATGCTCTGTCGGAAACAACATGCAGAGATTGATTTAGACGCTTGAAAAATAATGATTTTGATGTTGAAGATAAAGAACGCTCTGGCGCATCGAAAAAGTTCGAAGACGAATAATTGGAAGCATTACTCGATGAAGACCCATGCCCATGTCGCCCAGACGCAAAATGAACTTGCAGAATCATTAGGAGTTGATCATACAATAGTTGCCAAACGTTTAAAAGCATTAGGAATGATTCAAAAGCAAGGAAATTGGGTGCCGTACGAATTGAAGTCGAGAGACGTCAAACGGTGTTTTTCACGTGTGAACAGCTGCTCCAACGGCAGAAAAGGAAAGGTTTTTTGCATCGTGTCGTGACTGGCGATGAAAAGTGGTTACACTACCATAACCCGAAGTGTAGAAAATCGTGGGGTAAGCCCGGCCATACATCAACATCGACGGCAAAGCCGAATATCCATGGTTCCAAGCTCATGCTATGTATTTGGTGGGATCAGCTGGGTGTAGTATATTATGAGCTCCTCAAACCCAACGAAACTATCACGGGAGACTACATCTATCGACTACAATTGATGCGTTTGAGCCGAACATTGAAGGAAAAACGGCCGCAATACGAGGAGAAACACGACAAAGTAATTTTGCAGCATGACAACGTTCGGCCACATGTTGCAAAACCGGTCAAAACCTACTTAGAAACGGTCAAATGGGAAGTCCTACCCCATCCGCCGTATTCGCCGGACATTGCTCCTTCCGATTACAAATTGTTCCGATCGATGACTCATGGCCTGGCTGAGTAGCATTTCCATTCTTATGAAGATGCCAGAAAATGGGTCGATTCGTGGATAATCTCAAAAGATGAGTCATTCTTTCGACATGGTATTCGTATGCTGCCAAAAAGATAGAAGAAAGTAGTGGCTAGCGATGGACAATATTTTCAACCACATGCTCTTTACTAATATTCTAAATGAAGCATTTATTTTCGCGAAAAAACAGCAGAACTTATTCAAGTCCAATACTTTCATAACACAGTGAGAGTGTTATTTTAATACATCTAACCATTAACACACATACAAACAATTATATTTAACACATACATAAATATGTTCTTTTAACATACATATATGTGTTGATTTAATTTGCTGATTTTGTATGTCTAAAGTGGAGACATATTTTAACACGCTTCAAGCATATTATTGTAACACGCTTCAGTTTACAGTGCTGTCGCGTCGTTGACAGTTGATGAAACATTGCGCCTTTCAAAAATCTCTACAGATAAAAATTTGGAGGTAAGGTCGAATGATCTTCATGGCCACCAAATTGGACCATCCCGACCTATCCATCGATGAGGGAAAGTGGTATTGAGGCTATTCCCGAGGGAAAATAAATTATGATTTAGGACTGTAAAGTTGACCTCTACGTGACCTTCAAACGACAATCTAAGGTTAAGCCAAGATCACCGTCAAATGTTTCCCTCTGAACCCTACAACTTTTGTTTGAAACATTTTTCGCGACCTAACGACCTGGCTTACCTGACGAAATATTTTCGATTGTCGATTAAAATGGACCACCCTATATGTATACAATAAAGGGGGAAATGAGTAAGGGGAAAATAAATACTAACATGAACGTAATTTATTTTTAATTAGTCACCTGGATACTCAGTTATTGGATTCGGTAAATACTGGCTAGCGAACAGCATTTCTAATTGGCTCGGTCTTACCGGACCGTCTTATGTGATGGATACGGCCTGCAGTTCAACCCACTACGCTATTGCGGAAGCTTTCAGAATGATACGAGGTGGAGAGTGTGATGCAGCTATCGTGGGTGGTGCTAATCTGTGTCTTCATCCCAATATAACGCTTCAATTTTTTCATCTCGGTAAGCTTGTAAATAATCTTATAAAATGTAAAATCATTACTTGAGATCTATCGCTTACGTATAAACGCTGTCATGGCGATAACTCGACGAAAGATCGCTTAATTGTTAGCGGATTGAACAATTTTAGGAGTCCTCTCCGCGGATGGTTACTGCAAGCCCTTCGATGTGAGCAGTACGGGTTATATGCGCAGTGAAACAATCGCAGTAATATATCTGCAGAAAGTGAAGAACGCGAAACGAATCTATGCTACCCTCGTCTACTCTAAAACTAATTGCGATGGTTGGAAGCCAGAAGGGATTACATATCCTTCTTTCAGTATGCAAAAGAAATTATTGGAAGACTTTTACAATGATTGCGGCATCACACCCGAAGAGCTGTCCTACATGGAGGCCCACGCCACTGGTACTTTAGCAGGAGATCCGCCAGAAGTTGACGCCATCGATCAGGCTTTATGTTCAAAGAGGACTACTCCCTTATTGGTGGGTTCGATAAAATCAAATCTCGGGCATTCTGAATCTGCTAGTGGCCTTTGTCAAGTGGTAAAAGTACGTATTTTAATTCCTTAACCAGCAAAAACACAAGACTGCGTTCGCAAGAAACGAATTAGCACAGAACATATTACATTTTGAATTGTCTGGTAATTTAATATTTCTAAAATTGTATTCAAAAACTTTGCGATCACTGTATCTAATGATGAGCTTAAAAATTTAACATGATAAATTTAATAATGTAACAGTCTTAAAATTGAAAAAACTATAAAGATTCTCTAAAAAAGCTTTTAAACGCAGAGTTGAAGTCGCTTTTTCAGTGACAAAATTTAACACAGAAATACACTAAAATAGTTACACCGTAAACCAATAAATGACCAAAACAAAATTTTATCCACATATATTCAGGGTTGGGAAAGTTACTTTTTAAAAGTAACTCGTTACCGTTACCGTTATTTTCGGTAAAAAGTAACTCATTACCGTTACTCGTTACTGGTCTTAAAAAATAATGCGTTACCATTACTTGAAAGTAACGATATTTTAAAATAACGACTTCGTTACTTTCTGTTACTTTTTCTTGTTGTAAAACCAGGAAGAAAGGTGCTAAGAAATCGGACACAAGATGATTAGAAACATGTATATCCAATCCAGTGGCGCTACAGCTCAAGTTCGAGCCATCCAGAGCTCCAGAAGTCTGGCCCTCCAAGCATCCCGGTCCATCGCATCCCGTCTCCATCTCCCCTCATTCAGCAGTGTCCTCTGCCATGCCGTCCTCGCATCTCGCCCTCGGTCTTCCCTTCGGTCGGCCTCCATATATTTTTGTCGTTAATATTCTCTTTGGTGTTCTTGTGTTTTCCATCCTTTGCACATGCCTGGGCCCAGCGAAGCCGCATGATCCTAATATGTTTAGATAATTTTGGTGTTCTATGTATTTCGTATAACTCCTGGTTATATCTCATCCTCCATATACCATTCTCTTGTATTGGGCTACATATCATACATAAAATTTTTCTTTCGAAAGCGTCTAGACATTCCACCATCTCTTTCGTGATTGCCCATGCTTCACATCCATACGTAATTACACTACGTATTAGTGTTTTATATAGCATAATTTTCGTATTTCTATGCACGTCTCTGGATTTTATCACTGGGAGTAGAGCATAGTATGCCCTATTTGCCTATTTGATTTTCAAGTTCACATCTTTGACTTCGTTATTGTCATTGGTTAATACCGATCCCAAATATTTGAACTCATTTGTTTCCTCGAGCTCATATTCACCGACGGCGAGTTTTTGTCCACTTTTTCTTCTCTTTCTAGATGTCACTAGTATTTTTGTTTTGTCTTCATTGATTCTTAATCCGATTTCTTTTGCTGCCTCTTCTAGAAGGTGAGTCTGACAGTTGCCCATGAGAGGCTTTATATTACGAATCAGTAGGTCTTGGATATCAGAAATATATATATATTTAAATATTTCTATTATTTTATATTATTAAGTGTTGTACCCAGTAAGCAACATGCTAGCAAAATGCGCACAGATTGACGCTAATTTCGATCAGATCGTCATATCAAAACCATAGCCATCTGTGTCCTCATTAGGCTCGTGTTTTGTCGACAGGACCTACGTGCAGACCATTCGAGCAGATTGTTGGAAGAAACTACGCAGGTCCTGCTGCCAAATTACGCGCAGAGTCTACGCGCAGAATTTGCTCGATTTCTGCCGCCAATCTGCCGTCAAATTACTACAAATCTTGCGAGGTTTTGGCTACAAATCTGCCGTCAAATATCCGACAGCAGGATCTGGCGCATATTTGTCCGCAGATTGGTGGCATAATTTGATATAACAAATTCTGCATTAAATTTGTTGCCTATTTGACATCAAATTATGATAGCAGGCTTTGCTCGAAATCTGCTCGCACAGGTTTGGCTATTTGGGTACTAAATACGCCGATAAAAAAATAAGTATTTAATATTTTTTGTTGCTTAACAACATATCCAAAGCCCATCAAAATCGGTGAGGAACAGTTCCCACGGTTTCCTTATAAGAGGTTGTATGTGATATATTTCAACGTTTTTAAGGTGTTGATAGCGATGGAAACAGGCATTATTCCACCAACCATACACTACAAAACACCGCGAAAGGAACTGACTCCTATAATTGAAGGAAGAATGAATGTCGTCACTGAACCAACTTCATGGAACGGTGGTTACATTGGCATTAATAATTTCGGATTTGGCGGTGGAAACTGTCACATACTACTGAAATCAAATCCCAAAAATAAAATCAATGTTGGAATACCAGATGGCTTACCCAGACTCGTAGCGGTATCTGGTCGTACTGAGGAGGCTGTTCAGACTCTATTAGATGACGTAAGTAAATTTAACTAAAAACGTATTTTTAAAAACCAAATTAAAATAGAAATTATACAAGATCAAAATGATTATTTCCGTGATAAGATGAATATGTCCAACTCTGCCGCGGTAGGTGAATAGCCGACAGATAGACGTGGAATATATGGCTCTTCTGCATAGCATTCATGCAGAAAATATTGAAGGCCATCCCTATAGAGGATATACTATTGCTGGACCTGAAGTTCCTGTTAACAAAATAAGAAAAGTTGAAAACTGCGCAAACTCAAGGAGACCAATCTGCTTTGTATTTCCTGGAACAGAAGTTGAGTGGCGTAACATAGGTACGAAAGCAACTATTACGAATATTTTATTTTCAATACATAAATTTGATGGAATGGATATATACAACTCCATGGATATATACAATGTCCTTCATATATGATTAATATGTTTGCTTTTGATATATTAAAGAACTGATGAAACTACCAGTGTTTGCAAAGGCAATAAAGAAATGTAATGAAACATTAAAGCAGCGGGATATATGTGTTACGGATATTATAAAAAACAAAAATAAAACTACCAGCAATAGCATCGTAGAATCATTTGTAGGAATCATTGCCATACAGGTATAAGAAAGAAACATCAATTATTTTATATTCACAATATATAAAATGCTTGACTAAGCACAGTCCAACATATAAATTATTTAAGTACTCGTGTGTGTGTGTGTGTGTATATTTATATCGGTATTTAGCCACGTAAAACCATGTAAACGTATGATGTAATAGCCTCTCAATTAAAAGCCAATACTTTTATCAACAACATTTTAGATTGGAATAGTGGATATCTTAACACACATTGGTATTCTATCCGATTACACGATAGGTCAGTCTATTGGTCAACTTATATCCGAATATGTTGATGGACGTTTCACTATCGAGACAACAATTTTGACGGCGTATTTCATAGGCACGGCGTTTGAGCAGGCCATGTCTCAGGTTTTAACGACTTTTGAATTCATTTTAATTACTAATTTCCGCTTTCCTTATGTGGAGCGATTGTTTATGTATGTTTCATTTATACATACTTATGAAACCAGACATAATAATATTGATCATTGCTCCTCAAGTTGATGACATTACTAAGAATCAAGGCAACTATCTTGATGTTGTTAGATCAAAACTCTTGGAACATCTCTACCGAATATTACCAGCGAACTTTCTAAACAGCCGCGGTGTAACACAGTTGGGCAGGTCACGAAGCGAACGCGACAAGTTTGAGACCGCTGCAGAATATTATGTAGACATTATACTGAATCCAGTACCATTACAAAAAATTACAGCTTTGTTACCGAAAGATACGATACTCGTCGACATAGTACCACACAATACTTTTCAGCCACTCATACCAAACTTGCAGTCAGTGATAACGTTGATTTCACTCTATAAACGCGGTCAAAAGCATACTATGCAAAACTTTTTAGAAGGAATCGGAGATCTTTATAATGTAGGACTTCAGCCACAGATTGCAAGTTTGTATCCGCCAGTGCAATTTCCTGTTAGTCGGGGAACACCAATGATATCTCCTCTCATTAGGTCCGTCTCTTCTTGAAATATAAGTATAAGAAAACGAATCACGATTCTTTGTTTACATTACTAATTTTAAAACAATATTGCAGATGGAATCACTCTGAGGACTATTACTTCTACCATCATATAGGTGAAAGTAAAATTTTCAGCAGAGAAAGAATCGTCACTATTACACCCGCTGATGCAGATTTTGAATATATGTCTGATCATATAATCGATGGAAGAAATTTGTTACCAGCTACGGGTTACCTTTACGAAATTTGGCATACTATTGGTTTGTTGAGCGGCATTGATCATAGAAACATACCTATTGTATTTGAAAATGTTAAATTCATACGCGCTATTCACTTATCACGACGAGACAAGCTGGACTTAACTATTATGATCCAAGAAGGTAAATACTTTTGCAATTACCCGAGACTCAATTCTCGATATTCTCTTACAGCGATATTGTGACATAACATTAACAATAATATAATCAACATTAAGAAAAAAGATGGAAAAACATTGCGAAGTCGCAGTGGGATTCAATTTCCTGCAACAACAAAATTGTCTTCAACAATAGAAATCAAGTCGATGTAATAGATTCAGAGAAATAATGATATTATCGTGTAATAATTGTGATACTTTTACAGGCGGTAATAATTTTGAGATTATAGAGGGAGAGAATGTAATCGTCAGTGGAGTCGTGAGGGTGCCTGACGATATCGTGAAAGAGAAAATATCCGTTCAGTTTCTACCAAAAAACGAAGATGATGAAGAATGCATGAATGCTGCAGATATTTACAAGGAACTACGACTCCGTGGCTACCAGTATAAAGGTCTATTTCGTTCGTTAAAAAGCTCCTCCAATTATTAGTATTTCGTATTAATAATAATACGAAATTATATCGTGAACTTAATTCCTATTAGATCCGAGGTGATATGAGCACAATCCGTTGGGTTGAAGGACGGACATCTCCCAAACTCAACCGCGAAAATGTTATACATAAAATTTACGCGGCACTGAATTTCAAAGATATTTTGATAGCTACTGGTAAACTGGCGTTGGAATCCTTCCAAATGATTGAACGAGATATCGATTCTTTCTTAGGCTTTGAATTTGTCGGGTATGATGGGTTTGGACAAAGAATAATGGCAATGTGCTCCGGCAGGTGAGATAATAAAATACAAAATATAGTTATTATATCAAATATAAATTCAATAACAATGTTGTATTGAAGGATATTAGATTTAACACTAATGTAGATATGTAATGCAGTTATCAATTTTCCCTCCATGATTGAAAGACGACGTTAACTTGAATGAAAACATAATTTATATTTTTAGAGGAATATCAAATGTTGCAATCCAGGACCACGTTACGTCTTGGGTTATTCCCGATGAATGGACATTCGAGGATGCTGCTACAGTTCCGTGTGTTTATGCCACAAGCTGCTACGCTCTCTACGAGAAAGGAAAAATGAAGAGAGGAGACAAAGTTCTCATTCATTCGGGCACCGGCGGTGTTGGTCAAGCCGCGATCCACCTCGCGCTGTACGAAAAGTGCGAAGTATTCACGACAGTCGGAACTTTGGAGAAACGGCAATTCATTAGAGAAACTTTTCCTTCGATCCTTGACGATCATATCGGCAATTCTCGTGACACAAGTTTCGAACAAATGATACTTGAGCAGACACGCGGTCGGGGAGTTGATATCGTATTGAATTCCTTAGCTGAGGAGAAGCTTCAGGCGTCTATTCGCTGCTTGGCAAAAGGCGGTCGATTCCTGGAAATAGGAAAATATGACGTGATCGCCGATAATACTTTAGACAGAATGATTTTTGCGAAAGGCATCAGTTTCCATGCGATTATGTTAGACAATATAATAAGTTCCGTCTCAAAGAATTACGGAATTGTATGTAATTATATGTTACAATGTCTGAAAAATGGCTCGATAAAACCTCTTCCAAGGAAAGTCTTTGAAAAGACAGAAGTAGAAGATGCCTTCAGGTATATGGCAACTGGCAAGCACATAGGAAAGGTAATTTCTCGCGCACACTAGAAATTCATGTTTTTAATGTTATCGCAACAGCTGCTCTATATATGATCGCAATGAAATTCTGTTATTATCATTCTTATTTTCAGATCCTGATAAAGATACGCGATGAAAACGAGCCATTGAGTCTTCCTATTCTCGCTTATCCCCGATTTTTCTGCAAGTCTCATATGTCTTACATCATTTTGGGCGGATTAGGCGGCTTTGGTCTAGAATTGGCCGACTGGCTGATTCTTCGCGGAGCAAAGAATCTTCTTCTCACTTCGCGGACAGGATTGCGAAACGGTTACCAGCGCTCGAGGGTGGAATTATGGAAGTCCTATGGGGTGAATGTGCAGATTATCGCGAGTGCTGAAGCGTCTGATCACAAGGACGGCGCGTCCATCCTGAACACTGCCATTGAAATGGGACCGGTGGACGCTATATTCAATCTTGCCGTAGTGCTGAAAGATTCTCTCTACAAGAATCAGACAACTGAGTCCTTCGAAGAATCATTTAAACCGAAAGCAATGGCGACGAAAACAATGGACGAGTTGTCCAGGAAAATGTGCCCTGACCTCCGGTACTTTGTTGTCTTCTCATCCGTTTCGTGCGGCCGAGGAAACTCCGGCCAAACTAATTACGGTATGGCCAATTCCATCATGGAGAGAATATGCGAGAGAAGAGTACAAGACGGATTACCTGGGATGGCTATACAGTGGGGCGCGGTGGGTGATGTGGGTCTCGTGGCCGATATGCAAAAGGACAATAAGGAACTGATCATCGGCGGTACTCTACAACAGAAAATACAGTCCTGTCTGCAGTCGCTGGACACTTTCATGGTTCTAAATAAGCCGATCGTAGGTAGTATGGTTGTGCCAGAGAAGCGCGCGACATTTGGTGGAGTGATGGACATTGTGGAAACTGTAGCTAGTATCATGGGTAATTTTTTCATCATAAACGTGACAAATCTGATGATCATTTCGAAAACTTTTTACGATAAAACATTGAAATTAAAGTTAAAAAATTACAATTAATGACACACACAATGTTAATTGTATTCAGGGTGTTTCACAGAATCCTAACAATTAATATCTATTGTATTTTGGAAAATACAAAAGAATAAGACAGCGTAAGTAAAAGTTGAATGTTCTCATAAGCATTATTGTCTTATGAAGTCAATTTTTTGGTAGCGCAGTGACGAGAAGAATGCAGCTACATTTTTATCTTAAACTGAAGCCCCTGATTTTTCTTTGTACAAGTTAAAATATTCTGCAGAAAGAAGTAGTTAAAATGACCAGAAAGTAAGTAGTTAAATGAATAGACATTTCAGATTCAGATTTTAAAGTAAATATTCGAATGTTCCATCGTACAACAAACATTTGGCAACATTACGGATATGAGACGATATATAATTGCAGCATTTATAGCATTCTTATCACAAAACACAAAAATGGTGAACATGTCTGCTTTTGTTCATTGTTTAAAACTTTCATAATGATATATTTTCTTCATTGAATTACAACTCGTTACTGCGTACGATTCTTATTGTTAGACAGGCGTAGACGGTACAATTTTTTCGACGCAATTGAATATTTACAAACAGTGTTCGAAATATCCTTCTAGACACTCGATGCCAAATGTTTATTGTATGGTGGAACGTTCAAACATTTACTTTAATAAATCTTAAATGTCTTATTAACTACTCATTTTTTGGTCATCTTATCCTGCTACCTTTTTACGGAGAATATTTAAAATATCTATTTATACAAAAAATTTACGAAAAATATTTTAAAAATCTACTTATACAAAAAATAAAGGAGTTCTATTTAAAATAAAAATACAATTATATTTTTATGGCCCAACCTTTATTGCACCAATAAAAAATCGATTTCATAAAAAAATAGTGTGCCCACTCAATTCAAGATTAGGATTCAACTTTTCCTTACATCATTTTTTTCTACTGTCCGAAGTGTAATAGATATTAAATGTTACTGTTTTATAAAACACCTATGGCAAGAATGATGTGTGTATTCTTTCTCATACCTTTTGTTGTGATTTATGTGATCATGATAAAAATCCAAGAGCCTTATCTTCTCCTGTCTTTGCTTACCTAGGAATAAAAGATGTGAAAGCGGTTAGACTTCGCACCCCCCTGTCAGAGATGGGTATGGATTCAATGACGGCGGTAGAGATCAAGCAAACGTTGGAGAAAGAATTCGACGTTTATCTTACCGCGCAGGACATTAGAACTCTCACTTTCGAGAAACTCCACAATATGGCCGATAAAAACAAGCGTTTTGAGCAGATTGAGACACTCGATTCAGGGGGTATAAAATTTGTAATTCGTTTAATCAATAATTTAGACATGGTTCCAGATGTTTGCTTGGAGATAACTACTAGAAGTAAAATGGGCACAAAGCGGATATTTCTTCTACCAGGAATCGAAGGTTGCGGGAGCGTATTTAATTCGTTGGCTTCGAAAATCGAAGGTCCCGTGACATGTTTGCAGCACGGATCAAACAATATCCCCACGAGTGAATCTGTATTGCAGTCGGCTGCCAGTCTGTTACCTGTACGTATTAATATAACAGGGAAGTTGCCTTTTCGATATTTCCGTGATTCCATTCCACTAGACTGGAATTGCGTCACGTCGATCAAGAAACTAATAAGAAAAAAAGAACATTAATATTTCTTTCTTTTTTTGTAGCATATAATATCAAAGATGGAGGGTTCTGCGGAATTCATAATAGTTGGGTATTCATACGGGTCGTTAATCGCTATCGAGTTGACGAGATTGTTGGAGGCGAGAAATTTCACAGGACGGTTAATATTAATTGATGGCACACCGGATTATATGAAAACTCTGAAAGATCAATATTTTCCTTTCACGAATCTTCAGGAATTTCAGAATAATGTTCTCCTAGGCCTTATAGATCTCTTCTACTCTGTCGATAATACATCGGTATGTTGTGTATGGTGAATTTATTGTTATAATATAAGACACGTAATAACGATAATTGTTAACAGGTTCTATTAGAATTGTCTAAACACGACACGTGGGAAAAAAAATGGGATGCTGTCGTCAAATGTCTTTCAGACGATATTGTGCAAGTAACTTCTCTTGAAAATTACAAGATTTATTGTACAACGGTTTATAAGCATCTGATCGCTATTCACGAGTATGATGCGTCCTCATCACCGCCACTGAAATCGCCTGTATTATTACTAAAACCTACAACGTCCAACTTGCCTTTTGCCGACGAAAATAGCGACTTGAAAAAGGTAATCTTAATATAAGGACGCATATCGATGTATCCGCCTTTGAAAATCAATTGACGACAAGAATTATTATTATTCAGGTGACTGAAGGTAACGTGCAAGTTCGTCATGTCGAAGGTAATCATTTCACGATGTTGGAAAATGATGAACTTGCTGATATTATTAACGAAATATTATCTTGAGAAGTTAATCTTTATAATGTTACAAAAGTTCGTAATTCTGTAAATCGAAGGTATCAAGGTGTGTGGAAAGGGAAGGAGAATACGCAGAATATTTATTGTAAACAAGGCAATGATAAAATATTATGGTAAAATACTCGATTATTTATTCATCGTGCATGATTAATAAACAAGTATAAATAACTTTCGTCGCCAATATGGAGAAACGTTTATAACTCTAAAAAAGGATTGCTTACTTTTGTTTGATATTTATTCTAAATTCACGCATTGCGGCTTTAAATGGCTTCCTATTTTTATACTTTCGTACATTACGTGTCGTCGTTGACATTTTTCCGTTCTTACTTTAGGTAACATTTAAGTCTCTACTTAACATTCCTTTCTACATTAATTCTGGTCAATTTTGGATTTATATTTGATAAATATATATTCTGATAAACTGGAATAAATTGATATATGCTACTATATTCTGCTATAAACATTTATGATAAATATACCGGGATATATAGGAGATCCACTTGCAATGACCTTTATCTTTACATATATTTGCAAGATCTCCCTCCTGAGGCCGGATTTATCCCTACTTATATGTACCACTGATTAATATCGCATTTAACATTTTTGAACTTAAGGGGATGCTGGGTACCTATTATGGAACTAGTCGAAATCGATTCCGATTGTAATAATTCCGTTTCCCCTAGAAAAGACAATAGAGATCTAGGAAATAACGGAATAAATTCGATCGGAATCGATTCCGACGAGTTCCATAATAGGTACCCTGAACGCTTTATCGACAGAGAACTGTCAAAATTTGATATTTTTTCTGCAAAGTTTACGTCGTCTTAAATGCTTCAGAATTAAATATGCTTTTACACGATAAAAGTACGTATAAAATTAATTGGAGCATCTCTCAATATATGACGAAAGCGATAAAAATTTTTAAATTAAAATTTCGAATTGACAGTTAGCGTAATATTTATCTAATACAAAAGTTTTGCAACTTGTATGTACTGAAACTCTGGATGCTCGAAAGAAGAAAAATTTACAAATCGTTTCTAACAACTCAAAATTTAGGTAGGAAACCAAAAACTTTGCAGAAAAAATTTTAATATATGCGGTTAGGTCTTCCGATAAATATGATAATGCAGAGCAGAAAAATAGTTCATAACTGTTCTTATAGCCAGAGCTGCAATTTTCCTGCAAATGTGATAACGAATAATCCGAATGTATATATATATATATATATATTATAAGCGACTGTACGGGACAACAACAGGTAACTGTTATCTGTTAACTCCTATAAGTAACTGTAGGAACCATTAATGTTGTTGTAATATTAGAAGTTTACTAATGAATTTATTTTTATTTTTTATATTTCAGGACCGATTTTGTAAATATATATATGGGGGGGGGAGCAGGGTACCAAATTTCAAACGTAACAGTTAAAAAGTCTTGGAAACTATGAAAGATATTAAAAAAAGCTAAAATACGTGTCCCATATTTTCAAAGGGGAAACAGAATGGCATTATCAGTTTTTTATATGGAGGGCATTTTCAAGGTGAGTTGAAGGTCAACTTAATTTTTTTAAATAGAAAACCCAACTTTTTATTATATTTTCTTTTTCTACCAATTAATTTTAACAACTTTGGTCTGAAACATTTTTTATTTGTCTAATATTTTTTGAAATATTTAATATTTAAGGAAAACTTGGTAACTTTTCCAACATTTAATTTACGATATCTCGCTAACTATTCGTCGACAATAGTGACAATAGAAAAAATAGTGTTAGACTTTTTTACTTTATTTACTATCAAGAATATATTATTATAATAGTGCCCTAACTTTTGTTAACTTATAGGCTTTTGGAAATTTCAGAATTATTACATTAACAAAAGTTAGGACACTATTATAGTAATATATTCTTGATTATAGCAATATATTCTTTATAGTAAATAAAGTAGAAAAGTCTAATACTATTTTTTCTGTCGACGAATAGTTAGCGAGATATCGTAAGTTAAATGTTGAAAAAGTTACCAAGTTTCCCTTAAATATTTCTAAAAAATATTAGGCAAATAAAAAAATGTTTCAGACAAAAGTTGTTCAAATTAATTGGTAGAAAAAGAAGATATAATAAAAAATTAGGCTTCCAACTTAAAAAAATTAAGTTGACCTTCAACCAACTTTGAAAATGCCTTCCAAATAAAAAATTGATAATGCCATTCTCTTTCCCCTTCGAAATCATGGAAGACATATTTTAGCTTTTTTTAATATCTTTCATAGTTTTCTAGATTTCTTACCTGTTACGTTTAAAATTTAGCACCCTATATATATATTTACAAAATCGGTCCTGAAATATAAGAAATAAAAATAAATTCATTAATAAACTTCTAATATTACAATAACTTTAATGGTTCCTACAGTTACTTGTAGGAGTTAACAGTTAATAGTTACCTGTTGTTGTCCCGTACAGTCGCTTATAATATATATATATGTATCAATAATCAAAACCCTGCTTTATAGTGACGTTAGAAATAATATATGGAATACAGCCGAACAATTTGATGGTGATATATTACATTAACGAGACAATATTTCTCATGTTCCAAAATTGTATTGTACGTCACATGCTGCAATGCCTGGTACAGTCTTTTATATACGATAAATGTTCCAAAATTGTATTGTACGTGACATGCTGCAATGCCTGGTACAGTCTGCTATATACGATAAATGTTAGACAGCCTGATTGCGAAATCTGGCTCTGTAGAGACCTCGGGGATAGATCGAAGAATATGTTATAACAATTTGGTACTGATATATGACAGCAACGAGGCAAAATATTTTTTCTTGTAACATGGTATTTCGCGGGACTCGATGCGATGTTTCGTACGACACACGCTTTATTAATATATGATACATTTTTGACGGCCGGAATGCAAAATCTGGCTCTGTAGGGACCTCGATGATAGTTCAAGGAATATTCCATATAAATTCGGCGATTACATATATTACGCCAACAAGGCGGAATATCTCTTCTTGTGAAATTGTATTCGCATGATCCACTTTGACGCTTGATGCATCTTTATTTATTTATAATAAAAGTTAGACAGTCCGATTGCAAAATCTGGCTTTGTGAGGATCTTGGGAATAATTTTAGATATATGCTATAACAATATGATGATGATATATTACATCAGTGAAGGAATATATCTCATTTTGTACAATGCTACGAGTACTATACGTGATCCGCTCCGAGGACGCAATAGCGCGTTTTCCAAATGCAGCCATAACTGTGTGCTTATTGGATATCAAGCATCGCATGTCGCGTTATCGTACTGGTCTGTCAGAAATTTTGAAAGTTTGAAATATATAACTTTGAAAGAAATTTTGTAAGTTTGAAATATATAAAGTAACAATTAAGGTAACTGTCAAGTTACTAGTTATCAAACAAATGTAACTAAGTTAAATTACAGTTATAAATGGAAAAAACGGAACAAAGTTAAGTATAGTTACTGAAAAAAAATAACTGTAACTGTAACTTCGTTACAAGTAACGAGTTACTTCCTAACCCTGTTAAAAAGACAATGTTTAACTTCGCAATTTGTCGTTTCTACATTTTAAAAGAAAAAGAAAAATGTAATTTGAATAAAGAATTGGCTATTTTTCTTTTACACCGTGTCTGTTATATCACGTAGAAATGTCGTGTCAATTGAACTTTATACACTGACAAGAAAATCGTCAGAACTGTCCCTCACCAATTTTGATGGGCTTTGGATATGTTGTAGAGCAACAAAAAATATTAAAAACATATTTTTTTATCGGCGGATCTCAAGATTAGGGGATGAAACAACCCCTCGAAAAAACTAACATTTTCATTTTATGTGAATATTTTCTAAGGTACGAGGTATATGAAAAAATTTCTCCTACTAAAGTTTTACTGTACTTTATACTGTTTGCAACGGTATATTTAGATTTTCCAAAAGTGTCAATTCCCACCGTTATTCCTTCAATTTTGCAAAATTAAAAAATTTTATGAAGACAAAAATTAAATTAAAGCATTTGATGCCGAATCCATCCATATATAATAATACAATATGGTAATGATTAATTTTTAGGAAAACGAGATGATATCGTATTAAAGGCACCGCGCTGTAGATAGGTGTTGTGTTATTTCTTTTCAGTTGCGCTGTACTTAATAATTGTCTCTTATGCATATTTTCTCATATTACAATATGCAACAGTATTAATTTTAATGACACAATATGCAACTTATTACACGAAATCAAGATGTTAGATAGATGAATGATAGTGATGATATACGGGATGGACCATTTAAATTGATAATGCGAAATATCTCAAAAACGAAGCGTTGAAGAAAGAAATGTTTTAAATAAAAGTTAAATAGTTATATAAGTTTAAAGGGAGATGTACGATGGTGTCCTCGGTTTGACCTTGGAACGTGTATTTAAGCTCAGATGAAGGTCAATTTAATGTTTGAAAACAGAAAACCCAATTTTTTTATATCTTCTTTTTTTACGATTTAATTTTAACAACTTTTGTCTGGAAAATTCTTTTATTTACCTAGTATTTATTTACCAACACCTATCTATAGCACGGCGCTTATAGCACGATATCATCTCGTTTTTCTAAAAATTAATCATGACCATATTGTATTATTATATATGGATGGATTTGGCATCAAATGATCTTTAATTTTTGTTCTCATGAAATTTTTAAATTGGCAAAATTAAAGGGATAGGGGGTTGACACTTTTGGAAAATCTAAATATATCGTTGCAAACAGTATAAAGTACTGTAAAACTTGTAGGAAAAATTTTTTTATATATCTTGCACCTTAGAAGATATTCACATAAAATGAAAATGTTAGTTTTTTCAAGGGATTATTTTATCCCCTAAACCTTGAGATACGCCAATAAAAATAATATGTATCTAATATTTTCTGTTACTCTACAACATATCCAAAGTCCATCAAAATCGGTGAGGGACAGTTCCAACGGTTTCCTTGTGAGTGACACAAAGTAGACAGAATTAATTATTGTACTTTGATACATTCAGGCTTTTTCCATTTCACGTTATGAATAAAGATATGAATTGGACTGGCCGACTGGTCAGCTACGCAC